ACCTTTAATCTCCTCCATAAGAGGAGCTTTAGAAAGAATACCATTGTCCTCTTGAGTGATAACATTCGGAATAAGAGAAGGGTCAACATTAGTGTCTATAATAAAAAAATTATTAAGGTGCATATGAAAAAAATTAATAGCCAAACGAGCAATCTCATCTTTATCCTCAGTAAAAGAACCATTCTCATAGGCAATTTTATAAATATTGTTAATGGAGAGTTTCTTATTAACCAAAGCATGAAAATATTTAGTGTTATTGCACCTTCCACTAAATGCTTGGTAGCCATTTTTTGTTTCCAGAATGATTCTTCCTGTATCTGAAGCTTAGAAAGCTCCACTTCAGCTTCATTAAGAATGCACATATTGGCCTCAGACGAATCATACTGACAAAGTTCCTCAATGGTGTTAATTTTAGTTTCAGCAAGTAAAATGTTATTAAACAAATCTTTAAAGACATTATAGTTCCACCAATTCAAACAAGCTTAAGTCTTTTCAACTTAAGCCATAATTTCTTCTTGCCAGAAATAGAGTTATCAGGATAAACAGGAGCATTCCAATTCACTTGAACAACATCAAGAAAAGAATCATGGTGAAGCCACATATTTTGGAATCTAAACTGAGTAGGAAAACTCTTAGGCTTATTCTTAATGTTAATAAGCAAAGGGGAATGATCCGACAAAGTGTGACTATGATGCTCAACCTTGGTCAAATTAAAAGTGTTTAACCAAGAATTATTAAATAAAACCCTATCCAATCTTTGCCACAAATGCCCCCGATGCCAAGTAAACCTATTACCCTCTTATACGCTCATCCGGACTAGAAAACATATTTAAATCCCCCCCAACCAGCCAAGGAAGGTTACAAAAATTATTAAAATACAATATTTTCTCCCACAAAGCCCTCCTATTATAACGAGAAGAAGCAGCATAAACAAAGGACGCGCAACATTACACATTATAACTTTCAATATTACAATGTAACATTTGAGTGAAGTCACCAATGATATCAATCCGAACAAAATCTTTATAAAAGATCCAAATTTTACTAGCAATATTAGACTTAGCATTGTTAAAACCTAAAGACCTAGCAGTTCTAGATAATTTATCCACAGAAATAAAAGGTTCGAGTAAAATAAGAATAGCAATGTTATGAATACGACATAAATTTTTAACCTTAGGTTTAGAGGAGGGGCAACCAATGCCTCGCACATTCCAAATAATGACGTTAAACATAAAAAATAATTAATGAGAAGTATGCTATCTAGTACTTCTAGGTGATTGTAAAATAACACTTTGGGGTTGCCTACCCAGTTTAGCATGACCCTTAGAAAAACTAAGGTCATTATCTTCTCTAGCATAGAACTTAGCCAAAATGTCTATTTCCGTATCAGTATAGGCATCACAGTGATATAGATCAGATAACATCATAGTTTTATCATTTAAGTTACCAGAAGGCCCCTTAGGAAAAGGCCGCTCATTTTCAACAAAGAAAACTCCATCTTCTAATGTAGTTAAAAACCTTTCATTACCTTCAAAATAACAGTTACCTTTATCAGACTTGGTCTTACACGAAGGAGCCACGTTTGTCCCCTCCTCCAACATTAAATTCCCATGCTCGGTAATGGCCTTAACCTGAGAAGGCCTTGCCTCCTCAACCACCAGAGTTTCCGCAATGTCATTAGATTTATTAGAACCACTAGTAAGATGAGCTATAGGTAAATTAACCAACGCTGGCAGCACATCCTGATCATGAACCTGATTATTCTCAATAATAATGTTAGTATTGACATCAATAGTGTTATTAACCTCCTTCATAACAGCGTGAGTAACATTTTGTTGAGATTCATAAACAATAGAAGAAGATAAATTATCAACCACGTTAATGACCTTGTTAGGAGAATTACTTCCTTCCCCCACATCACAAACAGGATCCACATTAAGAACATTACCAGACGGCGCAAGCACAACCTGAGTAACAGGCTGATCGACCACGCCCTTACCGAGAGACAAATTACCATTACCTTCCGTCACATTATCAATACTATCATCTTTCGTATTGCCTTCCTGCATTTTAGTAAGACTGAGACTATCTTTTTCTTTCTTAAGATTGGGATGGTGTTTAAAACATTCATTCAAACTATGACCGTGCATTTTGCAATGAGCACAAAAAATGGGAAAATTTTCAAATTCAACCTTTTGAAAATAGTCGTTAACTTCAGACCCAAGCCAAATCTTAGTAGGATACTTTTAATTATAAATATCAACCTCTACCAAAACCCTAGCCACAGATGGACGAGAAATCGAACCAGTAGCTTGGTCCGTTTGCAAAGGCCGGCCAAGGATAGAAGCCAGACCAAAAAGTATTTAATAATTAAAAAAATGCAGCCTAAGGTTAGGAAAAGAGACCCATACAGGAACAATAGGATCGAGATTCATGACGAACATCAAAATCAGGAGTCCATTTAAGAAGACTCATTTGGCACGATTAAATATAGTAAGAGCACCTAGAAAAGATTCGGCTATAATCCAAATCATTACTCAATTGAATAGCCACATGCCTGGGATCGAGTAAACTAACATGAAAAGTTCCAGACAGCTTAAGATTATAAAAAAATTTCCATATAACATCAATATTAGGTCTCTTAAGAACAAACTTACCCATAAGGGTAAGAGCAAAAGGTGCAGCAAGCTGAGCAACCACCGAATCATCAAGCAAAAGTGCTGGACATCTTTTAAAGGAAGAGTGAATAAATTTCAGATTAGAAGAAGAACCACCGGCACCAGCTAAATCCTCTTTAAAAGATCGAGATTCGCCATTAGGGATAGAAGCAACCAACGGGTTAGATGACGATGGGGTCATCATCCCCCCAAAAAGAACGAAATCAAAGGCCCACCAAAACCAAAATCAGAGAAACCAAGCGGAAGAAAAAAGCAAACCACCAAAAAGCAACACGAAAAAGAGAATCCACAAGCTCTCCAAGAAAACACCAAAGAACGCGAGAAATTAAAAATAGCCGATTCGAAGGACAATGAACACCAGCAAGAAAAACAGGGTAGAAATCACCAGAGGAGCGCTGAGGCCAAACCCTAGAATCGCCAGGAAGATGTTTAGCATATTCTTGATGCACCAAAAATTAAAGATACTTCTTGAAGAGGTTGATATAATCAATTGTTAAATTAATAAATCATTGTTAAAAAATAAATTTTTATTAAAATCAATAAATTTAAATGTTATTAAATTTAATTAATCAAATAAATTATATTAATAGTTAATTATTAAATTAAATTAATTAATCATTGTTAAAAAAAATAAATTGATATTGAGTTTTAATATAAATAAATAAAAAACTTAAAGTATTCAAATTTGGTAAAGTGGCGCAGTGGTTGAGGGAAAAGGTGCGGGTAGGCGGAATCCCGCCTTTGGCGGGCTACTTCAGCTGGCCCGCATTTGTTTGTTGTGTGCTAGTTTTGCAGCGTGCTGGCCACAGTTTTGGCGGGGCAGTTTGCAGCAGCTGCATGGCTTGGTTTGCTTTTACAAAGATTTTATAGTTTTTTTTTTCTTTTTTAATTCCGGGACAAAATAGTTTGTCAGAAATTTTTCCGGGGGAATAATTTCGCCGGAAATTCATCGAAAATGTTTCTAGATGAACTATTTTGCTTTAGTATAACTTTTTCGACGTACGTTTTACTGCCGAAAAAAATTCGACAGAAATCCGCTGGAAATACTAATTTCAAATGGATTTTGAGCATTTTCCGACGAATTTTGTCCGTCGGTAACACACGATTTTCCTATAGTGAGTGCAAGAATTATAGGAGACATCATAGTTTTAAATGATTCTGCCAAAGAGTGCAAGAATTATAAGAAACTGCTGAGTTTTTAATTAAAGGGAAAATCTACGGCGAAATTATAGTTAAAATAATTCATTAGTACTAGTAAAGCCCTTCGTCAAGAGAAGACATTAAGATATTGTAAAGAATGCATTTGTTGGTTGATGTTGGGAAGAGCCCTTTAGCAGCAATCCTTAAAGCATATTGAGATTTTCTGATACAAAACTTATCGGGATGGACTTAAGAATTATTGAATTCATTTTGTAATTAATGTTACATATAAAGAATTTTTTGTTGCACTAATCTCCAAATAATTCTAAGGAATCTTCAAAAAAAAAAAAAAATCAAAGAGATCTTAAATCCATCATAATATAATTTAAATTAGGATATCTTGACATTATTTTATTCTAATTTCATTGTAATATATAAAATATCATACATTAAAATAAAATAAAAACATAATATCACACATAGTAATATAGCATTAGCTATATTTAAAAAAGAATTTTAATTTTCATAAATTAAAATAGAAGGGGAGCTTTATATTCCTAACACTTAAATTCATCATATTTGAATATATACCACTCAAAATAGTCTATCTATTAAACTACCACTCCGACATTTTTATCAATGATTTTTATTTTTGCGTTCTCGAAACCCTGGACGATAAAGAAAAAAAGACATGAAGCTCATGAAATTTAGTGAAATTATTAGGTGCGGAGTGCAGATGGGAAGAACCGTCCGTACATTAGTATAAAATCTAGCTAGGTATCATTCGGTACCACTGGGTACCACTAGGTACCGCTTGGTACCCTGTGTGTGTGCAGACGGTGCTCCCCCGTTTGCACTCCGCACCTAATATTTTTTCAATGGAAAGGGCATTGGAGGAGTGAAAACACTGAGGAAACCGTCGACAACGAAGAACAAGCAGGGAAGCTAGCCGGGATAAAATTTTGTTGAAGATTTTTTACATGATTTAGATATTTGAGTTATATATAAAAGAAAATTAGTTGCAGTAATATAAATCTCCCTTCAATATAATGTGGGTTAACAAGCTCATAAATCAGACATACTTGTGTTCCCCGCTAAAACAACACCGCTTAAAAAAACCAGCAATTCCTCTTCTCCTGAGCCAAGAAGCCTAGCATCCAAGAAGCGAAGAAGAAACCCTCCATGGATCCTCCCGCTCAAATCCCATGTTCCGGCAACTGCCTCGTCCACCTACACTCCTTCTCCGGCCACGCCTGGCTGCTCCGCCGCATCTGCCCTTTCCTGCAATATCCCGGCCCCCTCGGCATTCCCCATTTCCTGATCACACAAACCAATAACCAGGCAATCCTCCTTTCCCACATAGAAATCATCACCTTACATTTCCTACTTAAGAAAGCCACCATAGAAGGCCTCGGCCTGCCAGCCAGACACATCGTCGCCATCCTCCCCGCTAGCAGCAACACCACCCACTTTCAAACACAACTATCCGCAGGCGCCTCCGGCGCTGCAATGCGCATTCTCTTTTTCATGGCAAGGCCGGTTCTTGCCGCCTCCTATTATCAATCTCTCACGCCCGGCCACAGAACCGTCCTTGTATTCGAACTCGGTGTTGAAATTTTCGAAGTCTCTCTGCTCACCGAAGATGAGAATCTAAAAGTAAAGGCTGCCGTTTCCGACTTGGGCTGCCCACTCTTTAACTTTATGGCTTCAGAGTTACCACGGTGTATCGGAATTGACATCACAGGCGACGCTAGCGGTCTCCTTCGCATCCGAGAGGCCTGCGAACGCGCCAAGAACGCCCTATGTTTGGGCTCGGGTACCGCGGATGTTATGTTTGAGCGACTAGGAAGCAAGGTGAGTATGCAGATCAATCGGGAATGGTTGGTGTGGCTGAATCTCAATCATCTTCACCGCGGAATCATGAGGTGCTTGATGGAAGGCGGAGTCAGGCGAGAAGCCGTGCATGAGATAGTGCTCGCCGGAGCTTCCACTAACATACCGGAGGTCCGACAAGTTCTTCGACAGTGCTTTCGAAGGCAGCCTTTCAGATGTGACATCGACCCTGAAAATATTGTGGAGTTAAGTGCCATGCAATACGTAAATGACGTCTCCGCTAGGTATAATATCCCTCTGTTTGGCCTTAGACTCTTCAATTTTGGGCTTTACTCTATTTGAGGTTTCTTCTTCATTATTCTTTGAAGATATTGTCAATGCTGCAGTAGTCTACAATATTACACAATTTTAATAAAAAATTCTTCTTCATTATTTTTTGAAGTTCTTGTGAATGCTGCAGTAATCTAAATTTGCCCTAATTTTAATGAAAGGTTATGCACTTTTGATTTTGTAAATTTATTTCAACGCCCTAAATCTAGAAGAGCTGTGGAAGGATTAATTACCTAATGATTAAAAGATCTCAAAAAGAATGGTTGTGGGCTAAAATATTTATGGCGGTAGAGTGAGAGTTTTTTCGTCTTAGCCAAGCACGAAAATTCAGTACACAAATTTATAATTGAGATGACAAGGGATACCATAGATTTCTACATTGAAAAACCAAAGAGGGAAAAATCATGAGGTCTTGTCTATTTGAAATTAAAGATTCTACTATAATTGAGAAGATTACAAAGGTCGACTTGTCCCTTAATTTGAAGACAATAAAACAACATTATATTAGAGAATTGGCTAAACTTCAAATGGGTGCTCGAGAATTTTTAATGGTAGTGATCAAACGATTGATATAAGCATTATGGTGGCAGCAGTCAAAAGAAGATCGATTATGCAGAGGTTTTACGATGAAGGTAGTTGGGTTGTAGAATAAAGTTTCATCGATGGTTAGCTATCACCCACCCTTTCATATGAAGAATGAGGGTTTATTTATAATTTTTTTAAGAGTTATATGCTTACTAAATATGGAGAAACATAACGACAAATTTGAAATGTTTCAACAGACGGCTGATATTAATTGCCTAAATTATTGAGTGTTCTTCAAACATTTATATATCATAACGATGTTTGAATTAAGTGCTCTGGGGTTCGTTGGAATCGCCTCGTCGAGTTACTCGATTCGAATATAAGTATGTCATATTAGAATGTCATTCAGTCATCCAATTAATATTTGAAGCTTTCAAATACGTTTTGCTCCTTTATTTTGGGCCTATTTGGGCACAAATTTCACCAAATTTAGTGTCGTTGGATTCGTCTACTTGTGATGTTCAATTTGACTATAAGTTTGCGAAAATGACAGTTTGAATGGTCCTGAATTTAATTTGGAAGTTTCCACTTCAAATTTGCATGGAATTTGTGACTGATTAAAGCGATTTTTTTTGTGCCATATTCGTTGCCACCCTATTTTCGAATATTAAAACTTACAAAGTTAAAAATATGTATATAAACCTTTCAAGCTTCTTGTGATTGAAAGTTATTATTACCAAACATAAATACCTCAAAATATTAACATGAACCTCTCCTCAGGGCGAGGAGGGCTGTTAGTCAAGTAAACTATATTTGATCCTAATTTTAGTATTTGCTAAAATTGAGATGTTGATTGGAGTAAATGTTGTGAAAAATTTAAATCAAAACATTAAAATTGTTTCATACTGATTGTAAAGGCTTCATTTTGCTATGAAAATGTCAAAATTGAATAAAAAATATTAAAAAATAGTTTTGTGGACCAAAAAAATAACTGAATTGGATTGTTCGGGCTGAAAATTGAGTCAGACACATCTTGGCGACCGAACTGGCCGGTTGGCCAGCCGCCAGATGCTTGTTGCTGGCGGTGCCTACGTATGGGTGCCCGCATTTTCCGTGCGCTTGTGAGGGGAACATGATAGTGCCCCATGATTATTTTTTTATATTTTTTTAAACTACCGCCTCATAGGAATTTATGGAATATTTATTTTTTATTACATTTTTCCTTTATTATTATTATTTCATTTTAGGCTTAAATTTTTTTAAAAAATATTTAAAAAATTAGAAAAATCAAAGAAAATTCTTGAAGGTCTTTTATTGTTCTCTTGTTCATGCACCTATAAATACCCCCTTAGTGGTGGGGGAAGAGACACAATCTCCTATGCTGGTCTAAGCTTTCTTTTGGATAAGTAAAATTGGAGATTATAAGAGGTGAACCAAGCTCAGTTATCTTAAGTTGGTCCAAGCATTCGCCTAAAAATTGTTAAACAATGGATTAGTAGAATTAGAGATAGTTGGTGGCGATCAAAGCTTAGTTCTCTTGTGCCTGCTCTAAGTTTTCTCAAAAAAATTGGGAATAATAGATTGGTAGAATTTGCGGTTATTGGTGGTGATCAAAGACCAGTTCTCTTGTGTTGTCCAAATTTTCTCCCAAAAAATGGAAACTGATGAATTGGTAGAATTTGAGACCGTTAGTAGCGATCAAAGTCCAATTCTCATGTGCCTGTCTAATTTTTCTCATTAAGTTTTAAAAATGACTTATTGATAGAATTGCAGACTGTTGGTGGCCATCAAAGGCATATTCTCAGGTGCTGGCTTATGTTTTCTCCAAAAATTTGGAAATGAAGAAATGATAGAATTGGAGACTACTAATTGTGATAGAAGACCCTATTCATAATTCAGATTACGACTGTTCTTTTTTTTTGGGACATTTACGTCATTTAATTAAGGCAAACTCATACACACAACGCATACACATAGACTCGAACCCTAGATCTCTTAGTTGAAAGCCTAAGCTCTCAACCAATAGACCAAGGAGAGTTGTGTAGCCACGACTGTTCTTAGAAGCAGATACTACCGTAAAGAAATCCAAAGACCATCAGTGATAAGGCTCCTCCAAAATTTGGAAATAAATAATGAGGATAGTTGCAAGGCTAGCAATTAGCGGAGCAGTTTGGTGTTACCATCAGGAGGCAGTTTACCTAGAGTTCAGAGAAGCCATTTTGCTCCTGAAGTTTTGGAACAAGATAAAGTTTGGAGGTAAGAGTTATTTCCATCTCGTACGTTTAGTTTCCATTAGATCGTATAATCATTTTCTACCCTTACAAGCTAGTGATAGGAAGATCACATGGAGCAATACCGATTGCATTGATTATACCACATTTTCTATTACTTCCGATGGTCTAGCAGTGATTTACAAGAAGTTTTATTCACTTAATGAAGTGCTAATCATTTCCCAAAAAGGTCCGATCGGTCAAATACTCCATCGGGATTTATTACAGTGTACGGGATGATGTTAATGAAAGTACTTTAAACATACAATTTTAATTCCATCTCCGTACATTAATGTTTTAGACGACGAATATTGTATGATTGAATCTAATATAGAATTTTACTCTATTGGCATCTTATAAATCCAATAATATTTTTTATGGCTTTGAGACATTTTTATGAGCTTGGTTTAAATTTATTTGAAATAATAAATAATCCATCTTCATATAAGAATAATTTTGATTTGTGAAATTTCCCCCAGAAGAAAGTAAATCATTATGCATTAATGAGATATGCTTTAAGATATTGCCTCATAGTTAGAGAGAAAATAATCTTTCAAAAATTACTCCATCTTCATATTGTTTGATGGGGGAGGAGAATTCACAAGTAATTCTTTCAAAAATTTTCTTCTTGACCATGGGATTACTCATCAAATTAGCAGCCCTCACACTCCTAAACAAAATGGTCTAGCTTAGCGTAAGGATTGACATCTTCTGGATCTTACTCGAACTCTCTTACATGCTTCCAACCTTCCCATCACCTTCTGGGCTGAAGCTGTGTCTATAGTAAACTACCTAATCATTCGGATTCCATCCAAAGCTATTTCTCTTTAAACACCATATCAAAGGCTCCATGGTAAGATTCCCACCTACACTCATCTTCGCACCTTCAGCTGTCTTCGCTTTCTGTGGTTACTATCGTATGCGTTAGATAAATTGTCTCCTCGCTCACATGAATGCATCTTTCTCAGTTATTCCTTGCCACACAAAGGATATAGATGTTATAATATCCTCTCCAACAAAAGACTCGCGACATGTTGTCTTTCACAAACACATTTTCTATACAAATTATTTGTCACTCATTCCCCCGCCTCATCTCCATATAACACTAAAAATTTCTCACCACTTCGCTTCATTCCCTCATCCATCCCTGCCACTATCACCAAACTAAATATCATAAGACCAAATCACTCCAATGCTCACCAACATGTCTCAACCTTCTCCATCTAGTACCCTACATCCCATTGTCACCACCATATCAAATTCACCTATAGCATCACCATCTCTCATACCTACACATCCCATACAAACCTGATCAAAATCTGGAATCTCCAGAACCAATCACATATTTGATATGATCTCTTGGATTCCACTTCATCTCAATATACTCCTACCTATTCTCACGCCACCAAATTCAAACAACTGCAATGTCCACAAAATTTCTAGCCCTTCAAAAGCAAGGCACTTGGTCACTTGTGCCGCCTCCACCCAATAAGTCAATTCTTGGATGCAAGTGGACCTTCAAAATGAAATTCCTTTCTAATTGCCAAGTTGATCGTTACAAAGCTTGTCTGGTACCCCAAGGTTTCAATCAACAAATTGGTGTCAACTACACTAAAACCTTCAGCTCTATGGCTAAAATGCCAACATTTCGTATCCTCCTTACCCTTGCACTTCACCGATGATGGCCCAATCTTTAAATGGATGTATCCAACATTTTCTACACGGTGACCTTTTTGATGATGTCTGCATGTGTCAGTCACCTGGGTTCATCGACGCTCAATTTGTAAACTCTGTTTGCAAACTACGTAAATCTATTTATGGGCTTAAAAAAGCTCATCGGTAATGGTTTAACAAGCTCACCAATTTTCTCCAAAATTTTAGCTTTTTATTTAGTCATTATGACCCTTCTCTTCTTATATTTCATTGTAAACATATGCAGCTCTATATACTAATATATGTTGATGACATTCTAGTCACAGGAAATGATCAAGATACAATTCAATCCCTTTTCAAGCAACTGCATTCACACTTCATTCTCAAACAAATTAGATAGGTCTCTCTCTTCCTCAGTATACATTTACTTAAGACATCCTCCAACTTCTTCCTTAACTAGATGCATTTTGCAACCACTTTACTCCAAAATGCTTGGTTTGTTAATTAATTGCAATCCCGCACTGACTCCCATACTCAGAAATCCACCTCTCATTTAGGCTCCGA